TGCCATCTTCTTTAACTAGTCATGCAGAACCGCTCGATAGCAAGACGTATAATGGGGAAGGCCCTGTGCCTATTACCACGTTAACATTCTCTTAAGCCCCAGTGCAACAATGGAACAGGAAAGCAAAGGAAATCTGCGACTGCAGGGTGCGGTGCGGGCAATTCAATTACAGCCTGGGCTTACCTATGTACTTCTGACCCGCAAAACACAAGAGGCCTTTGTGTCTAACTGGCTTGGCCATTAAGGTGGCTGAAGATCACAACAATGCTGATCTTTTCTATTTAAGCTAAATCAATGTGGACAAATCATTATTCAGCAGCTTTAATTTAATTAGTAAATTAAATACACTACTTTACAGATCTTGTCAAGTACTTATGAAAAGAAAGATTCATTTAAGCAGGAGGTCACCAATGAGCCCACCTAATTTAACTCACAGTCTTAACTGAATCTCATCTCAAATATCCAGTAGGTTCTATTCACTAGGGCTTAGCAGTCTCCATGCTGTAGTGGTTAACTTATAACCCCAAAGAGTTCCTATCTTGTGTCCAAAGTGTTTTGGACAAAAACAAAACAAAACAAATCCCCTAACATAACCAGCATCAACAGAATCAGATTTCCTTTAAATTATACTATTGCAAGAGAATGTAATCAGGTTACCTCTATTACGTTGCTTCCTTAAGATTTTATATCATCTGTACTTAATTGAGATACAGAGCTCTTTTCAGCTATAAAGACGACAGCTACTTTATTAAAGTTTAAATCTGATTTCTTAATGATAGGCTGCTTCCTTTAAAGACTCTGAACCTGCACAACCTTCTCCTGATGAGACTGGACTTGGCTCTGGTGAGTCTGGTACTTACACAGCCCAAGTCCCTGAGGGGTGCAAGTTTCACAGAAAGGTCCCTGGCTTTTGTTTCTGCCCTAGAATTTGAGGCTGGACTTACAAAGACAGTCTACGGTATCCAGAGCCTGGGTCTGTATCTGCGTAAGAACAAAAACTGATTTCTCTAGCACGATGTAACCATGGCATACACATTCTTAGATCAGTTAAAAGGAATTAAAATTAATTCATCTTTTAAGAGGGTTATGACATTCTCCAAAATAGCAAAAGATATCCTGAGGAGTGGCAAACAGACTGAGAAATCATTGATTTGAACAAAATTGACAATATACTTTTTTCTTTAAAGAAAGGCAGAAATTATTCTTAATTTCTCAGGTATTACAATACACAGATTTTCTGAGCCCTTTTAAAAGTTTACATTCACATATACAACTTTGTTTTTATTTTTTTTATTTTTATTTATTTATTTATTTTTTGTTTTTTTTCTCCCGTACCAGGAACCGAACTCACGACCTTGCGCTTGCCAGGCAGGTGCTTTTGCCGCTGAGCTAAATCCTCAGCCCCACAACTTTGTTTTTAAAAGGCATGTGTCTACTTAGTCATTAAGTTCCAGGTCCTTAACCACTCGCAAGGACAACGGAACACATTTTTCCTCTGAGAACCCGGCCTAAGAGGGAGGAGCCGGAGGGAAAGGGACAGGAGCCGCACAGCCGGTACTCATGAAGTCTGGGCCTCTCCGACTCCACAGTCTACGCAATTACGTGTTTCACTGCGGCTGCTGCAACGCTCAGCCCCTCTGCCAAGTCAGCTACTCACGTACTTTTGGGATACAGCACCAATTAAACCTGAGCTGTGTTCCTTATGATGACCAAATTAATGGTTTGACAGCGGCTTTCTCAATAAACACTGCAAACTGGCCATATTCAAAGGGTTTAAAAACCATTTCTTTTCTGTTCAAAATTCTGACAAACATGTCTCAAGTATGACTGGGGACAACTTCATTATCCTCCCAACACTTAATGCCTTTTTGTAAAGGAGGCTGTTTAATAACACGTCTGCTCTGTTTTCACAACTAAATTATTCCAGTTGGTCACACGTTCCAGTCTTCAGCAAGACACTTGTGTTATGAGAGATAAAAACACGAAAAAGGAAATATATTGCAGAAATCAAAAACCTTATCTACTTCTAGACTCTCTCTTTGCCATAATTCATTCAAGAAGGCCCCAAGAATAATTTTTGATGTAAACTCAGCTACAAACATACATCACTACGCTGATAAAAATCACAGGCTAAACTTATGAAATATAGTGACTTTCATTTCTTTAGTGCTGTTAAAATAACTTTTTTCTAAGGTCCAACAGACACAAAAGATAAAAAGGGTTACCATTAATCCTTTAAAAAAAAGCAAGAAAGAAAAAGAGGCAGCCCCATAGATTAATTCTGTGGTCTGATGATGGTCTGAGGATGAACTTTTTAGATTAAGTCACTGAATTAATTTGGTGAAGATACTGGAAATCATAAAAACACACAGCATCAATCTGATTCATTTCATACATCTTTGTCTGGGCACTTAACAACATAAATTATGTTGAATAACTTGTGGTTTCTAAATTCTGGGCTCATTAAGTTCAGTTTCAAGGGAACAAGCATTCACTGAGCCCACCTCCAGAGGTACAGTCTAGGGACTGAGGGTCAGGGCGGGCAGGGCGCTGGGTCGGTGAGTTCAGTCGGGAAATGGGGCAGGGGAGAGGGCAGAGCACGAGCCGGTGACGCAGCGTGTGTACAGACTGTGGAAACTCCCAGGCGAAGTGAACAGAGAGGGCCTGGTCCTGGAGCTGGCTCCTGAGAAGTGGGTGGGCTGAGTGTAGCACTGTCCGGGAGTAAGAGAGAAGGTTGGGTTTGAGGTGTGTTTCAGGCAGCAGAACAGCAGAAGCACGGAGTGCAGTGTATGCACGCGGTTCATAGCGACTGGCCCAAACGAGCCTGACTTTTACTCTATAACCCTGCAAATCTTAAAAGTCTTTTTTTTTTTTTAAATCAGCAGCAAAATCCATTTGTGATCTTAAATACAGAATCCCAAAATAAGAAAGAGTTCCTTTGGTTGAAGAGGAGCCTTATGTGCATGCATATGCGTACACACACACACACACACACACACACACACACACACACTCGGACAGTCCCTCAAGTCCCTCCAACCCTTAGGCTCTGAGCGTGTGGCTTGAAAAGCTCGGCTAGAAGAGACAGGGACTGGGGCTTGGGAAGTGTTTATGGGATGGTGAGCCTCTTTGTTTAGACAAGTGTCACAGTTTCTACTCATGTGGGGCCAGAGGGAGAGAGAAGAAAAGCTCTGTAAGACCCATGTGCACAGTTTTATACCGAACCATCCAGCACATCTGAAAGTAAGACAAAAGGCTCTTAAGAGTTGTCAGTGCTGACATGGCAGGGTCCGCACACTGCAAACGTGGCCTCCCGCACACAGATGTGTAATAATGACTTCTCGATCCCACAAGGTGGCCGGCGGTGGATGGCTGGGTGTGTTACACCCCCCCCACCCCGTGCCCGCCTTGCAGCCTTCTACAGCACAGCGGGCACCTGGCGCGGATGCGAGGGAAACCCGAAACCCGCCTCTCCTTCCCCTGGCCCTTCCACCCAGCTACTCCCTCTGCGCCACATGCACAGCGTCACCTTTCACTCTTCAGAGACAGGGACGTTATGAAATGCTGTTTTCCAAAGCATCCTCAATTCTTGGGAAGAAAGACATGAAAGCAAAGCCATCCTGAATGGCTGATGGGCTGGGCTGAGTGGGACTGGGAAGGCGACTCCAAAAGCAGAGGCAGTCCAGCAGCCTGTGGCCCAGAGCAGCGACAGTTTTCTCTCAGCCTCTTCGGAGCCATCTGCAGAGCTGGAGCAGTACTGGGACCATGGGATGGTGGGAAGGGCTGGGATGGCCTTACTGCTTCCCCGTGGCCCCTATGCTCCCCCTTCTTGTCGAGCAGGAGGCTGAGTTGAAAGGAGATTATGTAGCCCAGAATATGTTGACAAAGAAATTGAACACCCACCCACAAATGAGTCGTGTGGCCTGTGCTCAGCTTGTGAGCCCCCAGCTCCTCAGGGCCCCCTCAGTCAGTGTTACCTCAAAAACCTGAGCCACATTATAAACACCTCCTGGCCCTTATGCTTCTGACCGCTCCTTTTGAGTATGTGATTGCTTCTAACACTTGCTCTCAAATTTTGTGGACACTGGAACATACCGGATTAACAGAAATTAGATGTTCAGTTTATACCTTAAGTTACCGAATCAGCATCTACTGTGGTGGGCTCTGGGTAACTGAATTTTGAACAGATTCCACAGGCAACACTGATAGGTATCAGAGTTTCAGAACTGGTGCTTATGTTCTTCTCTTCCCTAGGTAACTGATAAATCCTTATATAGTTTTAAAATTTCCCTTCCATGGACGGATTTCAGTGTGATCTATTTGTCCTTGTCCCTTAATAGGAGCGTGTCCTAAAAGTAATTAACTGATTAATCTAGATACTATATTCAATTACTTAACTGTAAAAATATAATATGCCAAAATATACAACCAAACTGTATCTACTTTGGTAATTTAAGTGGAGGAATGCCAACCCAGCAATGATCTCTTCTGTAGGACCTGGCAGGAGTTTAATTATGAGCTGGTAGGTCACACAGCTGCCAATAATCTGGGGGATGTTGACACTTCTGGCGTGACGGATGCCCCAAATCCAGTCCTCAGCTGCCACGAGAAACCCCCCAGCTCCCTTGATCTGATGGAGAAGGAAAGTAGACCCAGCTCTGATGGGTTAGGTCCCCGAAATAGGAAAGAGACGGCAGCACGAAGTGAAAGGAAGGCTATTTGGAGAGCAGACTCCCAGCAGGAATCTGCCCCGGGCCCCAGCCCCCAGGGCAGGGCAGCGAGGCTCTGTGCTGCCATCAAGACGGGGCAGGATGGGGGCGCACGTCAGGCTCTGGGCACCGTAACACACTCCCGTTTGATTAAAAGAAATTTCTGGTAATGAATTAAACAGACCCAAGGAAAAAAGGACACGATGGTAATATATTCTCCTGGCACCCCGCACGCAGAGGGGAAGAGCGGGGAAAGAGAGAAAGGAGACATAAATAAAAGGGACTACTCACTGGGGCTTTTTTCTTCAGCAAGGTCACAGGCACAGAGCAGGTCAGAATCGATTGAGATGGGTTTCTGCTTAATCCAAAACTTAGTACTGGCTTTCTGATTCGTAACGGGGTCTATCTCGACTTTGTCTCCAGAGATACCTGTAAGGCCAAGGAGAGGACAAAAAAGAAGCCACAAGTGAAAGCTGTAGGTGATTTCTATGTGCTCACTTGGCCTGCTTTATATACACTAAATCATATGAACACGGCTCACTCTTAGGGCTGAGGAATGTTGGGGACTTTTTTGTTTTTTTTTTTTTTTTTTTTTTTTTTTTCTGGTACCGGGAATCGAACTCACGACCTTGCGCTTGCCAGGCAGGTGCTGTGTCGCTGAGCTAAATCCCCGGCCCGCTGGGGACTTTTAAAACAGACAGAATCCAAGTGACTGATGAAAGTTGCCAGGTTGGTTCCCTGAGTGGTTGGGCTGTGGGGGAATGATAACTCAAAACCGTATGAAAGGATACTGAGAAACGCGCTTTCTTAGACATAACATAGATGCAACGGAGAATTTACATATGTGTTGGTAACTACATGACTGTACACTGTAATGAAATAAACTATAATATAGTCATTTATAAATGGTTTTGATCAATGTTCTTTTTTTTTCTTCCTTAAGAAGTTCTGAGATGGAAGACTAGCATTACTTATGCCTAAAGAGCAAAGCTACCAGTGAAGAGTTTCTGATCTGAATTGTATATACTAAAAGTAGGGAAAAAAGCTATCTTTTCCCTTCCATGACACTAAATAATTATTCAGCTATATTTAAGGAAAGTCACAGGAAGACCAAAGGGTCTGTTACACAAAACCTTTCAAGTTCAAATCTTGGAGGCCAGCTTTGGGCTGTGGAAGTTACTGCTTTTCTGCTAACGGAGACCCAGGCCTGGCTGTGAGCTTTATACAACAAAGGCCTCAGTGCAGGAAGCCAGAATGTTAAATACTGGACTTCGGGTTTTACTTTCAGGGCTGCGAAAGACATGGCATGCTGCAGGGTGCCCAGGGGTGAGGGTGTTCCGAGAGTGGAGGCAGTGACCAGCATGGAGGGACGTGGGCGTGGACACGCAGAGCAACTGCTCTCTGGGAATTTCAGAGAAGCACTTGCTCGGCCTGGCACACTGTCTAGTCCAGATGTGCTGTTTTCCCTCTTTTGCTGAAAACTCAGGAATCTGTCCATGAAGTGATACAAAAACCTTTAATATGCCTTCTGGGGTGAGCTCCATATGGAACCTTAAAAGTAATTAATTTTTAGGCCATAGTTTAAAGGTTAGGGTCAAGGTAAAAAGAAAAAAAGAAAAGAAAAGAAAAGAAAAAGGCAAAGTGCAGTTAAGATATAAGAAATGATTAAAATAATAAAATATACATTCTGTAATAGAAGAGCTAATCAGGGTTAACATATTTCATCCTGCAGATCACACTTAGAAATTTCTGAACAAATGTGAAAAAAACTTAGTGAGTCAAAAGGAGCAGATAAAAGAAACAGTTCAATGAATGCCCCCCCACTCACAGCAGCCATGGTCTGACAGTAAATTTAAATTAAAAAATACAAACTCAGGTCTAGCGGTTCAGTCTGCCACACGTTCCACTCATTTCTGTTTTATTTTATGGGTGGATTAACTGCAAGCGGTAGACAAAGGCAGGAAGAAGCCTGTGTGCGGACGGCGCGAGCAGAGACTGTCTTCAGGGCAGACCACGCCGTGAGGGCTGCTAAGCCCCGGTCATCACATGTGGTTTTTGGGAAAGACAAACAATTGTGGTTTTCAATTTAAAAAACAAATTTTTTTTTTGCCTTTTTTAGTCATATGTTTTTAAATTGAACACTGAGATTTGTTATCAGACATATTTCAGGAACATATTTCAATTAGGCATAGTGTCGTAAGTCCCATGGACTTTGGACTCTCAGGTCTACATGATTTCAGGAGGGTAAGAATGTATTAGGAGATCAATTTTATTATATTTCACTTCAAGTAGATTACAACTACCCAGGTGCACTTATGCCTCCAATCTGGTCATTAATTGTTACAGATCTGGACACTTCTATGTTCTCTGAAAGAAGAAAAGTACATAAGCTGTGCTTGTTGGTAATGTGTGTGAACGCACTTCCCCCTCCTTATTCTGCTTCTATTTGACATTTATAAAAGTCAAAACGAGCAGAACAAAATAAATGTGCATATCTCTTATGTGGAAATAAACCCTGCCCCACATTCCTTTCTCAGAAAGAGAGAAAAAATATCATCACCAGAGAGAGAGGGTTTAAAATTTTCTTCTATGGCCCTGCAACTCCTGAAGCCGTAGTCAGTCAATATTGTTAATGTACCTTGTTAATTTGATAGGATTTGTCAGGTAACTCCACTGGAAAATTATATAAAACTGTTCCAGATGAAAAGATGATAGTGACATGAATTAAAGTGATAGAACAATAGTGGAATATAAACCAGAAATGACACCCAAAGTGGCTGTTGATTTATTGCTGTACTGAGTTTGGTTCTGGGCTCCCATGTATATTAGTGCTACAAATCTGGGTCCATTTAGCAGAGGGTTGCTCATACATACATCACCAGCTCCTGCGCCAAGCCAAGGTCACTCCCCGTGGCATCAATCTTTTCAACAGAGCCCACTTCACAAAGCAGGACTTTTGTAACCATCTCAGATGTAACAGACTCTCGTCCTCTTTCATCTTTCTTTTATCATGTAAAGTACACTTTAACTTCTATTATTTTTATCTGCAAATTGTTACTGTATAGTTCATCCATTACGGGCTGTATCTTGGCATCAGCACGGCAGCAAGAACACTTTCCCAATGACGCCCTTTCCTGGGGTGACTGTGCAGCCACTGTTCACAGTAGGGAACCCCAAGACTGGGGCCTGGGGATGGCGAGGAGGGGGACTGATGCAGGAGGTTTAAGACGGGCAGGTAGGTGGAACACTGTCAAGCAATTGGTATGTTCCACAAAAGATGCATGTAAATCAGATTTTTTTTCCCCTGAATCAAATCACATTTTTCCACTGCCTTCTAGTTCCAATGACATTTTATCTTCATTTTGGATTGATCTGTAATTGGCAGGGGCTCCCAACACTTCAGTTTTTAGTTTCCCTGCCCTGTAGGCTTTCAGTCAAGTAGTTAATGATCTGTAAAACTCTCAACTGCCTCGAGGAGTCACTATTTAAAGGAACCTGTAGGGGAATCTTTCCTGATGGGAAGAATCCTTTGTACATTAAACAATCTCACTTTCCTCCAGACTGAGTCTCAGCTTCTCAGAGCTGAGCACTGGGCCCCACAGGCCCTATTTGCGCCTGCTGGACAAGCAGCACACACCTGGTTCCCACAAGCCCACCCTTCACCCTGAGCTGCATAGAAAGCAAGTACTAGAATCCAGCCTGGAGGTAAAAGGAAAACTTTCTCGTTCGGGCCTGAGAGCTCAGATTTTCTTCTGGTTGGAAGAAAGGTTAGGAGGCTGGACTGTCAGGTCAGACCCAGGACTCTGGGCGTGGGGGGAGGAGGCCATGGAAGCCAGGCTGCTGGGATTCTAAGCGGGGAGATCAAGCAGTGTGAGCAGGACCTACCTGCCACTGCCGCCTCTGCAGTGCTAAGAGTAGAAGGCGAGTTAAGGGGATGGGGGCAAGGTAGGGGCCAGAAGCAGCACTGCCTCCTGTGAGGGTGAGGCACTGAAGAGGACTGCTGAACGCATGGTCCTTGAGGCTCCTCTTCCTCAAGGCCAAGGCCCAGGCACAGAACAAAGCTGCAACCCTGGCAGGCTCCCTGCTGATCCTCCTTCAGCAAGCTCTGCACGCATGTGATCGGCAGGGCAGGTAGGACACTCGCCATAGACACCATGCATTAAGAGCCTGCAGCACGTTGACACAACCAACATTAACTGGTACCACCTATGTACCAGCATGGCTAGAAGGCCACTGTGAGCCCTGATTCACATTTCCTGTCAACCCTATGAAGTCGATCACTGTGTTCATCCCTCTTTCACACATGAGGAAACAGAAATACAAGGGGGGTTAAGTAACCCACCTAAGACCAGCTGGCTTCTAAGTGGCAAAGCTGGACTCTGAACCCAGGAAGTTTGGTTCCAGAACCTGTACTCTCAGTCCCCGTCCTGTTCTGGAAGAAGGGTGCCGGGGGTTGTGTGTAATGCACCCTACAGGAGGGGAGGGTGTTTATCTGACATCAGGAGCTGTGAAGGGGAAATAATTTTTCAGATCCAGGGCTGTCGGGTTCCCAGGTCCTGGTTCTTTCCCTGCCAACCACATGGCCTTATCTACTTGAGTGAGGAAGGCTGTACTGGTTAACTGATTATGTCAATTTGAGAAGTTTAGAAGCATAACTAAACTTGGTTCAGCAACTGGCCCAGCAATTCTACACCCTAGGGTGTAGAGGAGCCACCCTAGGGTGGATTATCACCTAGATAATATAAAAGGGAAATGAAGAAGGACAGAGGAACTTCCATTCCTTGTGGAGGAGCTCCAGTCTTCACCTTCAGCTTGGACTTCATCTCCTGGTTTCTAGTGCAGGCTCTTCGGCTTCCACCTTGGATCCTTCAGCCTTCCGTCGCAGACTCATCGGCCTCCTGGTATGGACTTGCATGGAACTCTGCAGTGAACTCCAGACCCTGGACTGATCCCTTCGGTCTTCAGTGTGCAGACACCCTCTGCACACTTCCCCATACAACCCTCTGGCTGTCTGTCGTAAGCCACTCTTGTAATTTCTTATAATTTGTATATCCTGTGTTATATCTGTTTCTCAGGTAAAACCCTGACAGATACAAAGGCCTAACAGGGGCCTCTGCCCAAGGGATCTGTAGACTCCTCTCTTAACTTCCACCAGGGGATGAGTCAGTGCTCACGTGTGCTAGCAAATGTGCACATCTATTTCTGTTTGTATGTCGGGGCAGTCGGTGCTCTTCCTTTTGGCCACTGTGCTAACATTTTCATGTAAAGTTCCTGAAGGGAAGACAGGGGCACTCCTGCAAGTGTCATTTATGCTCAATCATTGGAGTTATTTCAAGAAACTCAAATTATCAATGTATTTCTAAGGAAGTGAGGGAAGCTTTACATTTCTCCACATTAAACGGCCAACGAGAGAGGAATAGCTAATCCAG